ACAGTGGCGTTCGTCAGGTTGGTCCGATTTCCCTGTTTTCGTTCAATTTCGACGTAGATTCCATCATGGAGTGTTGCCCTGCGGAATCTCAAAATGTAGGCGTTGAAGTGCTGCCTGGTGAAAGGTTAGTTGATCTTGATTATGCGAACAATATCGTCTTACTTTTCGACAATGTTGAGGCGGCACAATCAACCCTGAATAGCCTATCCAGAGTGATCCCATTACTTGGTATGCACTTCACACCTTCAAAGTGCAAAGTGTTACTGCAGGACCAACATCCATTTGATGACCCCTTGACGCTTGCTAACGAGGAACTCGAGGTGGTTGATCAATTCACTAATCTGGGCAGCTGCATCAGCAACGATGGGCGCATAGAAACTGACGTGAGCTCACGCATTGCAAAGGCTAGAGCTGCCTTCTTGAACCTGCGGCATCTTTGGCGACAGAAGGGAGTTTCCCTCCATCTGAAAGGCCGTGTATACAAGGCCAGAGTGAGGACCGTTCTGCTCCATTGTAGGGAGAGTTGGCGCTTTCGGTCGGAAAATCTGAGGCGCCTTCAAGTCTTTGACCATCGTTGTTTGCGAAGCATTGCTGGTGTCGGATGGCACCAGCGTATCCGCAACGATGATGTGCGTAGGCGAGTTCTAGGTGGTGATAATCATGCTAGCTCCCTAGAACAACAGATAGCACTGAATAAGTTGCGTTGGCTCGGGCACGTGCTACGTATGCCTGGTCACCGCTTACCTAGGAGGGCCTTGTTCAGTCTACCATGTGTAGAATGGCGCAAGGCTCGAGGTGGACAGAAGTTGACTTGTCAGCATGAAATGAAGACACTGACGACCAAACTGGGTGCGGTTGGTCCGTCTCGTCTTCCGGGTTGTGGTCCACGTGACTCACTTCGTGCTTGGCTCGAGACTTTCCAGGACATGGCTCGTAACCGACACCAGTGGCGCGTCTGCTGCCGTCTCCTAATCGGATTGTCTGTTTAAAGTGTGTTTGGTGCTGCGTTATCTGCGGAGTAATGGCTGATTATGACGCGTGGCAGTTAAAGCCGCAAGGAAGCTGTCTCGCCGATGCCGCCTTATCTTTGCATGATAGCCAGCTTTTTGTGACGGTATGTTGTCTACACGAGGTGTAGGCGCCTTGACCCAGAATGTTTGCTTAGGGCATTAAGGTTCTCAGGTAAGTCCCTATTCTCTCCCTCTTCTTATTCTTTATTTCATAGGTCCTCATTGTTGTATGGCAGCGAAGCATCAGTTCAAATGGATGATGTACTGCTGTAGTTGTTGATGATGATGATGTCCAGAATTCCGATGTTGAGCTCCTCGTTGGCGCCAGAGCCGCAGATTTGGGCTATGCCGATGGCAACGCTTTGCTGGATGACGATCTGCAAACCTTCCAAAACACCTTGAACCGCTTAGCGATTGAGGCAACTAATTATGGCTTGTATTTCACCCCAGCCTAAAGCAGCGTTATTTCAGGATTTGCAGGGGCCTGTGTTAGTGTACACCATTGCTGATGACATTCTGGAACAAGTGGATTGCTTCATTTATCTAGGAAGTCACACTATGGCTGGTGGCGATGTTGGAGATGACGTCTCACAGCGCACTGCAAAAGCTCGCTTTGCTTTCATCAAACTGAGACATCTATGGCGTCATCGTGACGTCAGTCTCACGCTCAACAACAACAACAACAACAACAACAACAACAACAACAACAACAACAACAACAGTACATCAGCCATTTGAACTGAGGCTTCGCTGCCATACAACCGTGAGGACTTATGAAATAAAGAATAGGAAGAGGGAGAGAAGGAGGACTCACGTGAAAACCTTAATGCCCTAAGCAAACATTCAGCGCCAAGGCGCCTACGTCTTCTGTTAACAACATACCATCACTAACAGCTGGCTATCGTGCAAAGATAAGGCGGCATCGGCAAGACAACTTCTTCGCGGCTTTCACTGCCCCGTAGATAACTCAGAACCAAACACACTTTAAACAGGCAATCCGATTAGGAGGCGGCAGCAGAGGCGCAACTGGTGTCGCTTGCGAGCCATGTCCTGGAAAGTCTCAAACCAAATACAAGGCGAATCTCATGGACTCCAGCCCGGAAGACGAGACGGACCAACGGCACCCAGTTTGGTCACCAGTGATATCATTTCCCACTGCTAAGTCAACTTCTGTCCACCTCGAGCCTTGCGCCACCCTACACATGGCAGATCCAACAAGGCCCTCCTAGGTAAGCTGTGATCAAACATACGTAGCACGTGCCCGAGCCAACGCAACTTATTCAGTGCTATCTGTTGTTCTAGGGAGCGAGCATGATTATCACCACTTAGTATTCGCTTGCGCAAATCATTCTGGCGGACACGCTGGTGCCGTCCGATGCTCAAGCTCAAGGGCAGGGTGTAAAATATTTCCGTTCGTACGGTCTTGCGGTAGAACTGCGAGACCTGACCTGTTCGTTCCGAAGACATGAAACGACTGTCAGTTTTCAACAACCATTGTCTGCAAATGATTGCTCGTGTGTGGTGGCAACATCACATAACCAACACCGAGGTTAAGGAACGAGTGCTTGGAGCGAACAGCCAAAATCCACAAAAAGTTGTTCTTTGATACCGCATGCGTTGGCTGGGCCACATACTGCGGATGCCAGCCTATGGCCTTCCACGGCGAGTGTTAGCTGCGCTTCCTAGAAGCGAATGGAAAACGTATCGCGATGTACAACCAATGACGTAGAATAGGAGCATGAAGAAAGCAGCCACAAGTTTAGCTTTAGTCAGATCAGTGCGCCTCCTAGGTTGGGGATCACGTGACTCGGAATTCCTGTGGTTGCAAACGCTGGATGTGATGGCACGTAAAAGACATCAGTGACGCCAATTTGGTTGGGCCGTTTTATCTGTTGATTAATCTCAAGCATATATTTAGATTTAGAACAAAAATACTTGGAAAGACGTGTGTGAAACCTAAAAGGTACGGCCCTTCTGCATGTTTGCTTTCGTAGGCTTACACACACACACATATATATATATATATATATATATATATATATATATATATATATATATATATATATGGTGGGCAGCATCCGGTTTTGGATTTGTTTGTCACTGTGGCCAGTCAAATGAAGCTTGCGCCTACAGAGGGACCATGGATGGCTTGCGCTGCACTACCCACAGCTCCATCCACACACCCCATATCCAGTGTAAATCCGAAGGAATAACCCCGGGAGGCATGCAGATGGGAGCCACGTTTCATCAACGGAGCCGGCCCACACTCTTTCACAGGCAAACACAAGCACGCTGTATTTGGGAATCAACCGCATACAAGGCGGTGGCTGGACCGTAGTCCACTACACACTGAGTGCATGGAACCACTCTTCGAGCCTAGCACGACCACAAGGACCGTGCACCACGTCCCCTCCAGCAACGACCAAGTGTCTCCTGGAGCCAGATGTAAGAGGTTGTGGGTAATAGACAGGTAGGCATCTTGTCAACATGCACACCAAGCGCAGCCACACCTGGGATGTAAAACAACAGCCAATCACTTCAAATGACATTATCAAATAAAATATCTGTTTAAGAATACGGCTATGCAGACATAACTCTACCCTAAATTAGCACAGGAAGTAAGTTGGTTAGCAACGAATGCGCGATAAGTACTACATGTATAGAAGTTACTGAAAAAATGTCATAAACGTAATAAAGTTAAGGAAGATTATCACAATTAGCGCAAGCAATGTGGCTAGTTAATAGAAGACTATTCAGGTAGGCAAAACATACCAAATAAAGCGGAATGAGATGTATCCATCTTAAAAAGACCTACGATATAGAAGCAAATGTTGGTAGCTCAGGTTGTTTAGTTGATTGGCTGATTGTTCGCTGAGCTCGGCAGGTTGACTGCAAACGTTTCGTCACCACTCGAGGTGACATCGTCAGTGCGAGTGTATTTAGCAGTATGGCGCGTACGAGGCGTCGGTGAGTGTGAGTGATCGATCTCCTAGCCGCTACTCTGAGTTTGGATTGTTCGACGAGCACATGACCATAGAAATCGATCTCTGATTCTCACCTCGTAGTGTACGCGCGTGGGACTCTTCGCTTGTCGTCGTTTGATGCAGTAGTCTAGCGCTCTTTTCCGTTAGATTTCTTCTAGTAATTCGGTGATCTTTCATTCGTAATGCCGTATATATAGCATCTATTTCAACATGTCGGTTTATTGAACTGTCGGTAGAATACCATGCCTCCAAGAATTCTCTAGCTTGCTTCGAATTTCCACGGGCTAGGATCTTAACGTTCTCTAGATCGAAGTGGTGGCCTTCTTGGTCTTCATGCATGGAAACTAATGAATGCGGGTCGTGTCTCCGTATGGCCACTGACGATGTCACCTCGAGTGGTGACGAAACGTTTGCAGTCAACCTGCCGAGCTCAGCGAACAATCAGCCAATCAACTAAAAAGACCTAGTTTAAGTGTAAGCTGGTTTAGCCCAACTGCGGCGAAGAAGCATCATGAATGCAACGCCACAGCAGAAACCTCACTGAACCAAAGACATCGACATTAGTGGAGGCGTATAAAGTGAATTGCGATCAGTTGTGTTGCATGCCATTTTCACTTGTCTTTGGCGTTTAAACTACTCTTCCAGAAAAGACCGACTTTTGCGAGAGATATGTCCATATCTGGGGCAAGGGCGATGCCATGACATGCTGCATACACTTGCTCAGGCCACAACCAATGAAATTCACTGGATTTGTTCAAGTAGGTGGAAACTTGAGAGTGGTGTGGAAGCGGTAACATCAGTACGTTAGATGAATGCCTAGGCACCATGCAACCGTCAGCGACTGGGATAATGCAGGAGCGGGAAATTCGGACAACCCGAGGGCGTAGAGATTGATGATCCTGCTAAAAATGTTGATTACGAAGCGAGGTAGGGCATGTTAGAACAAATGAGTCTGGTTGTGAACGCTGAAAAAACGTTAAACATTGAAAGTGAACACGGAACTGACCACCATTTCCTGGTACCTAGTGATCATCCATTCCAGGTTGCCAGAGCCCAATTTGGCAGACTGCTGAACAGAGCTGAGGAATGCGGACATTACGTAGGATTGCATCGCTTGATCTGGCATCTCTTCCGGTAGTGAGGCTACACAAATCGGCAGACATATAGAGTAACAGTAGGAAATCCTTACCGCTGACCATAATCACCCCATCCTTATCACATATGTATAGGCCGACGATCCCATCCACACTGGGAGAGAGTGGGAAATGAAAAACAGAGGGAATGCTTACTCGGACAAAAAACGTTTCAAATAGTCTTCAGGTGACTATGAAAGAGAAAAATAATGGAAAATATTAATTAGCAGCTAGGCATCTTACCTCGGTCATTAATAAACCCCGACAAATGCGACCAAAAGGTCGAGTATGTGAACTGCTTGATCCAAATGATTGTTTCTCTATTCTGGAAAGCAAAAAAACAAATACCAACCATTAATAAGCGACTATGGAAGCGCAAGAGATTGAAAGGTGAACCAAAGTATGGCATGTGCTAACAAACTAAGAAAATCGCTTGATTCAACTTTTGGAAAGTCGAAATTCCATACACCGCCAGCGGGTAATAAAAGCGACGCAATCAGCAATGTCATCGTCATCATCAACAGCACCACATCAGTAATGTGAATTGCCACTACGCTGTCCTACAGCCATCATTTACTGGGAAAGAAAGGCTAACAATAGGGAGAGAAGAGGGACCTGATGAACATCTAAGGCAAACATTCAGAGTCTATACTTTCCCCACAAACAACTGGCTATCGTGCAAAGGTAAGGCAGCATCCGCGAGACAGATCCTTGGTGCTTTCACTGTTACGAAGAGTAACCGAAGAATAACACAGCATCAGATACAACTTAAACAGGCAATTTGACTAGGAGACGACAGCAGACACGCCAATGGCGTCGACTGCGAGCTGTCCTGTTACGTCTTGGGCGAACCACAAGGCAGATCACGCGGACTCCGGCCTGGAGAGTGAGATGGATCGACGGCATCCAAATTGGGCATGAGTGACTATATTTCCCTCTCCCGAAACAACGTTTGTCCACCCTGAACCTCGCACCACCCTGCAATTGGCAAACAAAACAAGGGGTGACCGGGCATATGTAGCACGTACCCAAACAAACGCAAGATAATGAAGAGTATTTATTGACCTAAAGAATCAAGCTGATTTTCACTGCCTAGTTCCCGTCTTTGCGGACACGCCGGTACCATCGGACACCAGCAATGCTTCGCAGACACTAAGGATCAAACTTGAAGAGACCTCAGATCGAAGGGACCAAGTCTCGTTACCATAGAGTAAGACGACCTACACTGTGGCCTTTTCACCTTTTCAGACAGAGAAACTTCATTTTGACGCCACATTCAGCAAGGCGGTTATAGCTCCTACTATACATGAACTGACTTCAGTGCTTATGCACTGCACATCGTCGCTGACGCAGCTGCCAAGGTAGGTGAAATGATCAACTACCTCGAATTCTTTATTAGGAAAGGTCAAAGGATAAGTAAATGGCTGGCGGTTCTGTACTAATACTTCACTTTGAGGGTGGAAGCGCATGAGATTATTCAGGGTTGACCGGGCCACCCCGACATCGTTAAACAGCAAGACAATATTGTCTGCATAATCAAGATAAGCTGATTTTTCACGAGGCAGCACCTCATTGCCTACAACGTGAGATTCCGGAAGGGAACACTCCGTTATGAAGCCCACGACGAAGTTACACGAAGAGATAATATTTGCAGTAGTCCCCTTGACAGCGAGCGAACTTTACAGTGAGTATCTTAGGTTCGGATGTAATCTAAAAATACCCTGACGGTGGGTTGCAGTCACAAACTGCTTCGCGATATCGTTAAGCCTTTTACAGCGAGCACTGCTTGTGACTGTACATGACTGAAAGACGTGTGAGTGCGTTTCCTCCTGGCCATAAACTCCATGGCAATGAAAAGATGTTGAAGGGGGCCGTTTGCTTCTGGCTCGATGTAACTTCGTTGACAGGACCCTCTCCCGTAGCTGAATCTCTTATACGAATAGTTGTAAGTCAGTTGTCTGAGTCAGTAGGTAGCTGAAAGTGCAGTTGTAACGCCCACATCGGGAAATTAACAACAAAAGATAAAGGCGCCCTTCTCCAAGCCTACTTTGCAGAAGCGAGCTGTCCGGACACAAATACGGGAGCAGTGACAATGCAATGGATGAGGGCCGTGGATTGATAGAAGACCACCCAACTGATTATAAGATTGCAGTTCGATAGATGGCACTCCAGGCGGGATTTCCGAAAGATTGGAATTATGGAAGACAGAGATGGTATCACGAGGCCAAAAGCTTCGATAGCGGAGTGAAAGTGGGCAACTGTAGCCAGTAGCGCACATTGGAGCAAACTAAATTATCCAGGTTTATGAAGGGCCTCGTCCAAAGGCATAATGAAGAGCAATGGGAACGGGGGTTCTGTTGCCAGCAACACGTCCATGAATTAATGCTGATCCCCTTGAAAGTGGAAACAGCAGAGGCATAATAGGAAGAGACAACTCAACATAAAGAATGGAGCGCAAAAACCGGATGCGGCTCAGAGTGAAAAATCGTTGGAAACGTATTCAAAAGCATTGGAGATAATAACTGAAGCGAAAAGGAAAGGTGCAAAATCCCGTGAGAAGAACCAAGCACGGTGTGAGGAATAATCAGGGCTAAGAAACATCCATATTTGCAAAAAATGACTAAATACGATCCGCAAGAAAAGGGGAAACACATCTAACCATAGAAAATGCGATGAGGTAGGCGGGTGAAGACAGAGTTCCCATAAATGTGTCAAAAGTGATCGATGCGTGAGAGATTGGAAATCTTGGATACGAACAAAATCCGGGCAACCTTCATGTGGGGCGGGTAGGGAATGAGGCAAGAAGGCAGTTTAAAAGGAAAGTGACTGAAACGAGGCCCATCCAGATTATATCTTTTGGAGCAATGCGATCGACATCGGGCGAAGCTCCTTCCACAAGTAGAGGAGCGTAAACCATTTCCGCAGTCGACACCGATCGTTATATATCATTGAGTTCACTGAATTGTAGAGAGCAGGAGGAAAATCCCTTGTCAGGCCCATCGATTCCGTATTATACTGGGTTTGATGCGTGTCGTTGCATTACGACGTTCCTCGAGGGTTCGTCGCAATTGCAGTGACAGCCGCAAGATTCCAGCATTCTCAGCGAATGTTTGACTATCAGCCGTTTGAAACTTTCCTCGGATGGAGCGTCTGCAATTCTTTCCGGTAGGCTGTTCCAATCGTTCACCACTCTAGTTGATAGGGTGACGTCCATGCAAATTCTGTCTTCTTTGCTTAAACAGTTTCCATGTGTGACCTCGTGTGGAACAGTCAGTGTTGGGCCGGAAGAATTGCTGTAACTCACTCCCAAGTTCTCCTCGGAGGATGCGTCTAGTGTGGATGAGATCACCCCGGCGACGGCGGAGCTCGAGGGAGAACAGATTTAGATACTGGAGTCGAATTGGGTGCGGGAGATCACGAAGCCCCAGAACAGCTTTCGATGCACGTCTCTGAACCTTTTGCAGCAGAGCGCATTCAAATTCTGAGAGCGGATGACTAGCTAGAAGGCCATATTCTAAGACTGGACGGACGTACGAAGTGAACAAAGGTCGAAAAAGCTCAGGAGTCACTCGAACGAATGATCTCCTTAAGGCACCCACCAGCCTTCTTCCAGTTGCCACCTTCAACGTGGCCGGCGTCGTTCTAAGGTCAGGAGTCACGATAACCCCGAGATCTCTCTCATGGGTGGTATTCCTGAGGATAAACCCACCAATGTGGTATGCACCGTACGGTTCAGTGTGTAGTGACCTGGAGATTCCCCTGTTTGGCTGCCGCATGCTGCGTAAAATATTACAAAATCACAAAATTATATTTTCTCGATGTACATAGCAAATTAGCCACTCGCCTGTTTGAACGTTGCTCGCGTTCGTTTGAGTCAACATAGCATCCGCCTTCGAACGGCGCGACGCTGCCGCGCGACCCCCACCAGTCGCGCGCGGGCTGAGTATACCGCGAGGACGCCCCACCCCTACGCGGATTCGAACCGGTGAGTCAACATAGCATCCGCCTTCGAACGGCGCGACGCTCATCGGCTCCGCGGCCATCTCTGCTCTCCGCGCACGCGACCACACCTTTCCCCTAGCTAGCTATCTTCCGGGGCCTTATTTTTAGCACTAGATAGCGTTTCTCCCCCACTTAATAAATTTTTCCTAGCGTTACTTTTGGTGTTCTCCACTCATCGGAGGTTGGCCTTATATTCGCGTATTGATTCTAAAACGTACCGATCCTGCTTCTCGCTTTACTCGCTTTATTGGTGACCCCGACTTTT